CGTTTATCTAATAGCTGATTGGATCAGCTTTAGACAAAAGTGTCAAAAAGCCCTACTAAAGCTCCCGATCCATACAGATGTTGCGGAGCCAGGTCAAAGTAACATGCTGCTTCTTCCAGTAAAGTGGGGTTTCATAGATTCCATAGACATTAGGGGCTGGAAGGGACCTTGTGACATTATCAAGTCCAGCCCCGCCCCTGCCATAGGCAGGAAGTCAGCTGGGATCAAGTGATCCCAACAAAAAAAGTATCCAGATGTTTTTTGAAAGAGTCTAGAGTAGGTGCTTGCACCACCTCTGAGGGAAATGGACCTAGAGGGCAGATTGGGACCAAGCTGTTCAGAATGAGGAACTTCTGGACTTCTAAAAGAGGCAAAATTCTAGGTGCTTGCATAACTTCATGGTCAAAGAGTGAGGATTGATGAGCAGAGAGGTTTGGTGAGTTTAATTAGGTAACAGCTGAGAAAGGCTTTTTGGAACACAATTTTGGATTTGGGTGCTTCAATTCTGCCTAAGTCCTATTTTAGGTACCCGAATCTTTTTTAGATTGAGCCCTTAGCCTCTTTTTAATGGAAGACTCTTGCTAGTGTACCCCTTCCCTGTGCCTGATCCCATTTAAGTGAATTTTTTGCAAATACAGGATTTAAAAGAAATGTCTTAATTCGGACACACTTAGTGATATGTACCTTATAGCAGGGGAAAACCAATAATCTTTTAGACTACAAAAGGATCATTCTGTATTCCACCACCCAAAATAATGAATATATTGCTAATGCAATTTGGTGACATGGATAGGAAAATTGTACATACTGTCAATAGCTATCATTTAGTGCAATTGAATTAAAGCAGTGGTAAACAACTTATTCATACTCAGATGAATTGCATACAAACTGAAAACTTTTCAGTAGTTGTTCAAAATTACAAGTAATTCTAAGTCTGTAGGTCTTTCAGGTACAGTTCAGTGAAAATATCTGAAATATATGCCCTGCTAGTTCTTTATATGAGCTGCTGTTTGGGTATTTTTCTGTTTCCTGATAGATGTTTAATGTCTGAAAGTAATAGCAGTGTGAATTTCAAGTTGAGCATTTAGTGGGAAAAATGTGTGTGTGAAAGCTTCAAAAGTGTTTCTCGTAGGTTACTTTAGTAGAGCTTGTTTATTAGAATATTTGGGGCATGCCAACCCAAAAGAAGAACCATCACAGTAAAGTGAATGAACTTATCAGGTGAGTGAATATTTAGACAAGCTTCAAAATATTTGAGCAGAAATTACTGTAGGACTTGCTGGAACCTGGATTGGTGCAGCCATTGATCAGTGCATACAGAAATCATCCGGAGACTTTTTAGCAGAATGAACCAAAGTAGGCCTCAGTAACAGCTTGAGCCATAGGCCTTGCTGTTTGTAAAGTGGACCATACATGGCCTAAGTTAAGACTATTAATTTTTAGAAACCTCAGAAGGTCAATGGAAGGAAAACAATGGATAAGTACAGGACACTAAAACAGGAAAGTTCACAATGTCTACTGAAGAATCAGATGTAAATGATATTACCTTAATACATTTAGTGATTGCTAGAACTAGGAGGTATATACTATAAACAAAATATTGTTTTGATTGATGTACAAAAGGAGGCCTGGGAACTCTGAATACTTTGCATTGAACTAGGGGCCCTACTTTATGCTGGTGCCATGGCTGAATGGGTATATGTTAGTGCCTGGTGTTGTCTGTGGACAATAAACCCTGAAGAGTCTTTATTACCAAGAACCTGAACCTATGAGCTCTTCATTACAGTTAACAAGGTCATTCGGAGCAGGAGGAGGACTACAGCATCAGAGAGAATCCTGACAGTGCATGTATGGACCATATTAGTTAGGGGAGCTTAATGTGACTGGTACTACTTCACCCCTGGCTATACCCGACTGAGCCCAACAATTATAATTTCAAATATAAAAATTTTCTATATTATAAAAAAAACTTAATGTGGAAATGTTGGGATTGTCACTGATATTGTGCAAAAAGAAACTGCACTCTTCACTAGTTCCTTCAGTTGTTTTTCTGTATTCTCAGGGCATTTATACACTTACCTTTTCATTCAGTGATGTGCTGGAGATCCACTGCTTCTGAGCAGACTTGATTAATTGAGTCTGCTCCACACGTGAGCTGATGTGCACTGTGCTGTGCCAGATGCAATTGTATAAGTGGCAAAATACATGTCAGCATGAAGAAAATGGCGGTGGTGCACCTTTGAACTAAAGCACCTCTGAGGTGTTTTAGTTTAAAAGCCTGCTGCCAACATTTTCTCTGCGCTGACACACATTTTGCCACTTATACAACTGCAAGTGTTGCAGCGCTGGGCGCTTTTCAAAGTGCCCAGCACTACAGTGCTTACATGTGCAAAAATGCCCCTTGTGACCATGTTTAATCATTAGGTGAGTCACTGAATAGCTATTAGTTCCAAGGTCGGTGGACTGCAGTATCTACTTGCTCACTTATAAGAAATCGATAATGGAGTTAACGCATTTGATAACCGTCAGTGAATAAAACCCAATACTGGTACTTTTCTCATTTGGCCATTTCTTCTGTATTACTTTCTAATTTATCTCATCTATTTCCAGGATGTTAACCACAATAATGTCAAGGTGCCAATGGCCATTTTTTCTCTTTCCATTTTGTAGGATGTGCACCTCTTCTACTCCACATGGCAAAGGAAGCAATTTCCTTAATGGCAAAACACCAACCATTTTCTTACAGGTATTTTAAATGCTTTGTTAGTCATGCAGTCAGTTACCCAAGCTATGGGTAAATGATGCAATAAAGATTTTACAGTATTTATAAAAATCAGGTGCAGTCAATAATAAAATGAGTTCACATGTTTTGGAAAGTGTATATAAATATGTTTAAATCAAGAAAAACTATTGTACATATATATCTGGATATGGATGCTTTGAAACAACACTACACAAGATGAACATCTGTGTGAATGCGATGTCCAACAAACATCACAGCACTTAACTGAAAGCTACAATATTTACAAGTGACCAGACGGGGCAGCTGGAACTACAACACTGAGCTATAATACCAGACAGTGGCTTACGGATTTGGAAGTTGATATCTGATGCCGTATGAAAGAAGGAGCAGCAGCAGCAGGCTAGTTTATGGAGCAAGCTATTAAGTATCATACTTTTATTGAATGGGTTGTTAAAAAAATTCTTTACAATTAATAGAAAATATTCTTTGTTCATCTCTTCTTTAACAACCCTACCTGCCAGAGAGGGTCCTTCTGCTCAGGGAAGAGCTCAAAGTATTTGTGAGCCAGCTGAATCGGAGGCAGAGTTTGCAGTTTCAGGTTCGTCCACGTCTGAACAAAGTTGGCCAGATTCACAAAGGTGTACAACCCCAAACGGTCATTCCCATAGTTGGACAAGTGTGTCATGAAGATACTGATCTTTAATAATAAAAAAAAATGGAAAGAAATAACACACTCTCATTGTGTCACTAGGTGGCACTCCAGACATATAATATATTTGCTTTTGTATGCTACCTTCATTTAGACCAAGAAGGGGTTTTGTTCACTTAAGGACAAATTCTGCCATTTTTTCATTGCATAAAACATCCCTCTTCAAATGAACTCAGTGAAATCAACATGACTATTTGTGAGTTAGAGTACTATTCACTGGGAACTGGTCTGGAAGAAAGTTGCCCATATTTTATTGAATTGTGTAATATTCACAGTACCTTTATTAGAGGTGTACAGACAGACAGAGGAGTGGGAAAATGGCATTACATATGAAATACATATGTAGTAGGAGCTGGAAGTAAACATTAAAGAGATGAACCCTATATTAAAGGAAGAGAGAATTGGTTTGAAATCAAGAGGATGTCTGATCTTTGTGTGTTAAAAATACTGTGATATTTATGTTGTTATTTAATGTTGTATGGCAGAGAACTAATCTGAAAAATATTGTGTATACCAACCAATAGTATCTTATACAAGATTTATAGATTGTAAGCTCTTCTTATGGCAGATAGAGTAATTAAATACCCTAAATTCTTGTTATTTGATGCAACAAATCTTTTGACAATGTCTACAGTAGACATATTACCTCACACACTGAACACAAGGTCGAATTAAATGTAGAAATGAGGAAAAGATATTTGCAGCAAGACAACATTTTCAATAGATTATACATGTCATATTTTCAATGAAAAGTTTTGCTCACTTTAATAACAGCTCATAAACTAGCCCATAGTTTGTTTTCTTAAAGCCCAAAATACACAGTTCTTATTCAGGCGAGTCTTCTCAGTCAGGATGCCCACATGATTCTGTGCAAAACCTCATAGGAGATGCAGAATTGGGTGCTCAGACACTATGTTGATGAGCACATTATGACTATATGGACAGGCAGCAAAGCACTGAATTCTCCAGACTGCTGCCATACAAAAATTAGTACACTGTTCCTGTTATACAAACTCTCAGGCTGATATTTTGTAACAAGTGAACATTCTGCTTCACAGTAAAATTTGTTTAATGAGTACCATTTTGTGCTACTTCTTGGCTTGCAATGCAACTTTGGACTTCATTTTATATGACTTCAGAAAGATAAGGAGGTTCACAAAGGGAGAATTTATCACGACGACTTCACTTTTAAGGCAGGACCTAATTTATTTTTTTATAAATGGGAATACTCCTGTTAGGCAAGACATAATTCACAGTTCTGCCAAATATGTAACCTTTTCAAGTTTTCTTTATTTTTGGTTCTGAAAACATGAGCAAACCAACAATAGGACTGTTGTTCTCAATAAAGATATAATTGGAATGTTTCCACAAAAAAGGTTAGCTTTCTTTCTTGGCAGCTTCTTTCTTTTCTACACCTGTTCTGACCTCTGACATTTATAATATGAGTTCACCTCCTAGCAATTCCTTACCTGCCAACAACTTCAGCACTGCACGGGAAGAAAAAAGGAAGAGAACTTCAAAAGGTTACCAGTTCAGGGGAAATATGTATTATTCTTTCCACTGCGGGGAATATCACTATAATTTTAAGAATGCTATAGAGGTGAGGTTAAAAAATAGATGGAATGTATCATAATAAATCATTTTCAATATATGAAGTATTGTCAATAAGAGGAAAAAAACATCACAGACTTCAATTCTCATTTTGCTATGATTCCTACTAGAGATACATTGTGAATAATTACTAGCAGCTAAAAAGAGTTGATCAAATACATATTTAAGTCTCAGATTACTAACTCGCTAAAGAACGTCATGTACATTATTACCAAATAAAGGATGAATATATATTCTTATGATGGAAAAAGTCTCCTTTATTTTTATACTAAATCCAGTACAGTAGAATCAGATATCTTCTCCAGGAAAATTTGAACCGCATTTTTCCTACTTCTGTAGATGTTCTGCATACAAATTCCTCTTAAAGTCATTGCCAATCCTACTGAGTGTATGAAGTTATAAAATAATGACTCCATCCTGTGCTACATTGTAAATAAAGGAAAATTTCTAATTCACCGATCTGCTTCTTGCACAGACCTGGGAGACTTCTGGCACTTGCTAAGGCACAGGTTATAGCAGCCTGTGGATAGCCTGAGCCTGCTTTCAGCTGCAAATAGTCCCTATAGCCTGTTCTGGCAGCTCAGTAACTGTAATCTAACTGTATTGGCCACAATCCCATTTTCCCTTGAACCAACCTGGCATGCATCATGTACCACGAGCTCCTAGGAGAGAAGTCCAGCCAGCTATGCCAACTCCACACCTGTCAGGGACTTCCCCCAATGTTAGGGGAAACCCCGAGGGCTGAGCTACAGAGGCTTTATAGCCAGTTTGAGAGATACCATCTGGTCCCCATTTCCTCCTTGTTCCAGCAAGGGAAAAGATGTGCACCAACCATTTTGGTTGCTTATTTTCCCTTTCATGCTGGTCCAGCTGCATAGAATAGCGTATTTTAGGACAGAGCTGAGACTCTGCCTTCTTCCTTCCCACAGACCTGTGCAGGACAGGAAAGTTCCTTCTGTGTTTCCATTCACAGGCATACATCTGATCTAATAACAAGCCACTGGGTTTTTTTGTCTTTCTTGTTGAGTTTTAATTGAGGCATTTCCCCCCCCTTGGCCACAATATTCTAAACTCCTGAGAAGCTCTTAACAAAGGAAAAATGCTTCATGTTCCTACCCTCACTAATAACTGCTGTGCTATTTAAAAATATCCTATTAAAATGTTGGTGTGTGTGTAGATGAAACGGGGGCCCTAAATTGAAGCGGTGGGTTTTAAAAAACACTGCTTCAATTTAGGGCTGATTAAATCCCTGTGTCGTGCACACACCCCGCTGGCTTACCTGACTCTTGGGCAGGGAGGGGAGGGTAAGCTTCTGGCAGGCGAAGCAGTCCCTGGGCGGTGGGGGGGTGGAGGGCCTGGTGCTTCCCTCCACAGCAGCTGCGCCCCCCCATTGGCAGCACCCGCCCACAGGCACCCAGCTTGGGCGGTCCCGGGGGGGAGCACTGCAGCCATTGAGGGAAGCACTGGGCCCCTGCGCACCTTAGGCAGGCAGGCAGGCTCTGGGGGCGGGGGGCAGGAATCAGGCTTGTTGCTTTTCTTGGGCAGAGCCTGCTTTCCTGGGCTTCTGCCAGGCTGCCTGCAGGGCTTCCTGCAGAGCCCCTGAGCTGCACAGAGCCTGGTGCTTCACTTCGAGGCTGTAGGAGCAGAAACTAAACCTCCTTGAAGGAGTTTTAGTTTGCTACACCCTAAGTCATTTAAGGCGCATTATGCCACTGGATTTCCTACAGCGGCTGGAATTAATGTGCAACGTGCTGCCGAGGTGTGCAAACACCGACACCATTAAAGCGGTGCAAAAGCATTTAGCCCACTTCAAAGTGTTGTGCACACACACCTCATTGCATCTACACATGGCCTTGTTCTCTCAAAAGGCCACAGCACTAACGGGGGACCATCCAATCATGATGACTTGTGGGATCTTGTGAGTTATGACATCCAGTAACTCACATTAATTCTTCAAGAATCTTGTCCCAATAACCTGGCACCCCAGGTTAATCCTAGGAACAGTGGCATAACAAAGGTAGGGGGACCAGGACAGCCACCCTGGGTGCTGACTTGTGGGGAAAGTAGGGGAATGAAAAAACCAGCCATGTGATCTTAGCTGCAGCGGTGGTGGTAACTGGAAATTACTGCTGCCCCCGTGTGTGGCAGCTGTCTTGGATGTCTGGCTGGGTCATTATGTCACTCACTATGAGATACAAACAGTCTCCCATATTTTCCATTCCTTCTTTTAAAAAGGAACAGCTCTGAATGGACTTCTATTTGCTTTAACTCGCACTCCAGTGTGTTGTCTTCAGTGAAAACAACTTATTTTATTCTACTATTTCAAACTCCATTATCTGAGCCATTTTCTCTACTTCAGTTCAAACAGGATAACCCTTCTTAGCCTTTCCTCATAAACAAACGATCATCTTGGCTGCACTTCATTGTGCACTCTCCACAGGACTTAATATCCTTTGTAACAGGCCAAAACAGAATACAGACAATTTTTTAAGTGATGGTTAGGGAGTAAACTTGGCCTCTGGGCAGCATTTCCTTTCTTGCTCCAACTCCTTTCTTGCTCCCACCCATCTCTGAGTCTCAGTAGCAAAGGTGCTCTCTGCTCTACTTTCTCACAAAGCCATCTGGGTAGCTCTATAATCAGCTCTTTTTGGCTTCTTGTTGGTATCTATGTTTTCCTTCCTCCACAGCACGTGAGTGACAAAAAGCACTTTCTCTGTTCTGCATGCTTTCCAAATCCTTAAGGAACCTGATCAGAAAACCCCTTTGGATTCTGAGGAAATATAGGAAAACAGAGCAAGTATCTAAGAGATACAGACTTATTTTTTAAAATTGTAATTCCAAACTTGCTTAGTTTGATGGAAATTCATTGTTATAGCATTTTTCCCAGGTTGGGTGCAACAGCTTGTAGATCAAATGCTGCAGTACAGAAGAAAACCCCCCACAAATCGCACACCGCTGGTTATGACATATCAACCCTCCCTCAAACCTGTATGGAAAATCCTCAAACAATTGCAACCCATACTAGAAAGAGACCTTGCTCTTAAAAAGATCTTCCCAGAGCCACCCATCCCGGCCTTCAAACAAGCACTGAACCTCGCTAACCTCATCACCAGAAGCAAACTTCCTCAGGCCCAGAACACACCAAATGGATCCAGACCATGCCATGACAAGAAATGCAAAATCTGCCAACACATCACCACCCCCACAATCACTACACCCCACAACAGAGCCATCAGCATTCCTGGATCTTACAGCTGCACCTCCAGAAATGTAA